TACCATAATGGCCTGGCTTATAGCCTTAAATAGCCTATGATTAAGGACTTCAATAGTTGATTATTAAGTTGATACTAAGCTGATTAGTCCTCGAGCTGATCTTACTTCGTTTGGCTATACAGCATTTGACCCTTATCTATTCCTTGTAAGTTGTCTTGTTAATTGTTTTGTAACTTATTGTTCTGTGTTTTTTTATGTATCCGTTAGCACCAGATACTTGTGCTGAATAAATATATCAAGCATTTATTCTTCTCTGTGTATTATTCACCTCGATGATACACCACTATTAAAGGATTAATCTATCAGTAATCCTGGCATTCATTCCTGACTATAGAAAAATCAATTTTGGTCACAATTTAGTGCTTAATTATCAAAGTTAAGAATAATTGAATAGCAAACAAGTCAACTGCCTGCAATAAGCAACAAAGAAGATTTGACATTGTACACCTGATTTAATTGACCTTTAAAATCAAATTCTAGTAATCATATCTTTTCTCCATTTACAAACTTTGCTGAGTCATATATATGTATGACACAGCAAATATATATATGATGACACAATACAGGCATTGCTCAATTAATACATTTTCAATTAGTGCACTAAAATTTTTATGTACTCAAATTAAATTAGTGCTTACATAATACTTCATTAGAGCGGTAAAATATTCTTCAGTTTAACCATAGAAGTTGAAAAATCGATTTTTTATAGTTACTGATGTACACATTAGCCACATTAATTGGGGGAGAATTCTTCTGTGTGTGTATATATATATATATATATATATATATATATTATTTTTAAACGTGCAATCAATTTACAAATACATGAATTATTCACACAAAAAACAAATGCAAAGGTTAATGATTTAATTGGCGAAAATCCATCGTCGCAAACAATTCAAATAATATACAAAAACCTCCGAATCCGTTATGAATGAAATGATCCTTGTTTCTATAAATTTCTGCCGATTAGTTCTTATTTTACTCCAAGCTTTTTTGTCTGTTCCTTGCAGACATCTTCAGGTATAGAATAGATGTTGTTCATGTTTTTCTCTTAGTAATAAGAGGACAAACGAAAATATATGTATTGTTGTATCCGAAAATGCTATTGAAAATGAGTTATTGTTTTTGAGCGCAGTAGTAATGTTGAGTTTGATTTTAAATTTTTAAAAGTTGTGCGTTCATATACAAATATGGTGATGAACGAATTTTTTACTGATCCAAGTGCGACTTTTGGATAATAAGTGCGACATTACTGTAATTATTGAACAATATAGTTCATGCCACTTTGACAGAAAATTTACCAGTAAAAAATTTGTATTCAACTTACTTGAAGTGGAACGACTATATTGAATCAATCTACTGCAAGGCAAGTTGAATCACTGCATCATGCTGAAAGGTTTTTCATGTCAGAGTCCGTCTTGCACATTTACAAATCTACCATTTGTCCGTGCATTTGGCTCTGGGGCCAACAGTCTAACTATCTGCTTTAGAGCGGAGAGGAACTGGGACGAGGCTCCGTCGAAGGGCAGAGTCTCGTTTGGGGTGGTTGACCGCTCCTGAACCCGTTTATGCGGGTTCAAAGAGGGAATATTTTTGGCTGAGCCTACGGGCTCGGAAATCCCACGTTAAACCTGGCCTTGTGCCATATGTAACCCTCGTGGGTGGGGGTAGCTAAATACCATTTGTCCGTGCATTGAATACTGTTGCTATATCTGACTTGGTGTTCATGAGGCTCTTAACAAAATCCAAAGAAGGATCTGCAATTTAATCAATCCTGATTTGGCATCTCGACTTCAGTCACTTTCTCACCGATGCGACATGGCTTCCCACGGACTTTTCTACAAATATTTTCATGGCAACTGCTCTGACGAGATTTTTTTCCTGATGCCCCAACCACATGAATTTAAGCGTGCTACTAGATTGGCATTTAGGTCCCACCCTTTTACTGTTGAAATAGTTAAATGTAACTGCCGCTTCTACTCCAAAAGTTTCTTTTCTCGCACTTCCTGCATGTGGAAGTCATTTTGATTTCCTAGTTTCCCTGATAACTACAATCTTCAAAAATTTAAATGTAATATCAATCGCCATCTTCTCTCTCTCTCTCTCTCTGAACCCTGTTCATCTGTTATCCTTTCATCGGCACCCCCTATACCCAGTCTATTCTCTCACCTTCACTTTCTGTAACCTTCTGTGTACTAGTGGCATTCCTGCCTTGGTTGGGGTGAAATGATTAAACAAAAAAAAAAAACAAAAAAAACAATATAAAAATTAATACCTTATTATTTACATTCTTTACAGCCTGACTAATGTCTTCATCTTTGTTGTTATTATCATGTTTTGGTCATTGCCTAGTCTGTTTTACTTTAACTATCTGTTGCTCCAAGTAATCTTCAGGTGCTTCAGTGACCTGGACACTTTATTAAATCTATGGGGATATATTTTTCTTCTACTATCTATGTCTAGGGACATGTCATTGGTTTGGTTTGGTTTGGTTTGTTCTGTTTTATGGCATATCAACCTCAATGGGTTATTTGATGCCAACATTTTGCTGCTGGTAATATGTTTTTCTTCAAAAATCTATGTTTGGTAATATTTTTTTTCTTCAAAAATTTATTGCTGGTAATTTTTTTTACTAAAAGTATTTCTGGTATTAAAACCTATATTTACACTTTCATAGTGTTTTGACTCCAGTTTGAGGGTTAACTATTTTCCCATAGCTGGGACCCTAACAGGTGCTACCACCCTGGGTAAGGGTGGACCTGGGAACAACAGCAATTAACAGCAATGCTCCTCAAAACCTCCTGATCAGAGGCCTTGCTGTTGGACGTAGTTTATTGTCTTACCCAGGACACAGATTTAGTTTATTGTCATACCCAGGATGGCTAGGGACATATCAGGTTGGTTAATTATCCTCTTAGTACTGCTTAGAAGTAGTTTATTTTATTTGCAACATGATTTCCTGCAGCTGTATTGTTGTAAGGTATCCACTTTGCATTGCCAATAGCTGTTACTAGGTCATCCCACTCAAATGCTACAAATATGATGAATTTGTATTATTTTTTAGAATGTCTTATTTACAGTCATTACAGCTTGAACATTACAATCTTAACCTCTTCAAGAGTTAGTCATTATCTATCCTCCTTATCCTCATCTTCACTTCCTTCCCCTCCTCTTTCATTCATATCACACACCTTATTCATTATAACCATTTTAACAGTAACCCTCTACAATACAATCTTAATCTATTCAAGTGTCAATTGTTATCTATCCTCCTTATCCTCATCACTTCCTACCCCCTCCTCTTTCATTCATATAACACACTTTATTCATTATAAAAATTTAACAGTAACCCTCTACAATACAATCTTAACCTATTCAAGTCAAGGGTCAATCGTTATCTATCCTCCTTATCCTCATCATCTTCACTTCCTACCCCCTCCTCTTTCATTTATCACACACCTTATTCATTATAACCATTTAACATTAACCCTCTACAATAAAATCTTAACCTCGTCAAGTCAAGGGTCAAACCTTGAGTGGCTCTCGAATTTTGTATTGAAAGAGCTTTAGTATATAAAAAACATATATAGAATGTGAAGAAACTACTTCCATGGTCATTGTGAATGCACTGGTCACCCAGTAAAAAGACTGTCGGCTGCATAACCTCATGGCACAGTGTATCTTCATATCAACTAGTTCTTGAGACATTAAAATTATATATATATATATCACTGGTCCCATTCCAGATAGACCTCAAGCAAAGGAAATAATGGGAAAAGCAAAGCATAAATAAAATGGCAACATTTTTATGAAAACTTTACCTGGAAAGAATTTCAGATGTCGTTCTCCACAGACTTCCAGTTGCCCTCCTTCATCAAAATAAATATATTCACAACCAAAATAGCCTCCAGCGCAAATACCCAGGTATGAACCACCTTTGCAGACATAATCTCGAATATGCTTTATCCCGTTCTGGCCCAGGGCTTGGATAAATCCAAGGTCATAACCACCACCAAAACAGATTGCAGCTGCATCTTTGCGCCAGGACCCTGGAAGGGAAACCATATTTGGACAAATTGTTTGGCAAAATTTATCAAACTTAAAACATCACAATCCAAAAAGACTAAATTTATTAAGACCTACAAATAACAGGAAATTGTGGAGAGCCATGATCACCAACATCCTGAAGGGACACAGCACATAGAAGAAGAATCGTTACAAATGAAAACAATGCATAACTGTGACGAAAGACATGTCTTACCTCAGAATTCAAAACGAGCGCGGACGTGTCTTGCCTGCAAAGTAATACAAAAAGAAATATGGCAGCTACTGAAGACACAATTCATGTCTCATCCAAAACGAGACGATATTTGCACACATGCAAATTTTGGCCGTCTCAGAATAGCATAAAAAGCAGAGTGCCAGCAGCACCAGGGGTCAGGGAGTCATTTGGCAGACAATGTGCAACAGAACTGGATGTATGGATTGATAGACAAAGAGAAAGTCGAAGTATGCGTGACTGAGTTGGTGTCTGTTTCACAACTGCCCAGTGTAATGGCTGAGAAAGGGAGGTTACGCAAACCATTTCCTTGAGGCGACCAAAGAAGAAAGAAGAACCCCCCTCTCTCATCTTCATTTATTTTTTTCTTCTACAATAACGAGTAAATGGATGGCAGAACAGGGATTAGGAGAGATAACAAAAAGACAAAATTTAATAAGAGCTACAAAGGAAATTGTGGAGAGCCCTGATTGCCAACATCCTGAAGGCACACAGTGCATAGAAGAAGACATTCTTACTGAATATTAAAATTAGAATTTCTCGTACCCTTAATTATCTCTTCTGGTGTAATCGTCCGTACGTTATGGGTAGAACTGTCAACAGTTGAATGTAGAGCGTCAAGAAGCATTTGTAAAGATGTCTTTTGGGAGCCTTCTCCATCGTAAACAAAAACCGTCTTCTGGTTTGACATTGAAACATGCAAAAGTGACAAAATGAC